ACCTCTCCGCACTTGTCTCAGCGATTCAGCCACTGGCGTACCTTGAATTTCACCCGATTAGGAAATCCACCGTCTTTTTGGCACGGCGCCTGCGATAATACGGACGTGAGTGACGTGAAATCGCCAGTAATCGCCCCAGAAGGTGACTTCACGTTCAGCTGGCCAGGGGGAGAGGGTGTACTGATGCACCAACCTGACCATCGCTTCAAGGACATCCGTTAGGCATAACGGAGGCTGAGCCAAATTCAATACGAGAAGATTCCGCTAATCTGCCTTGCAGTAGGTCAATCGAGCAGAATGGCGTGAGTTAGGCTTGTCAACCTGATCGCACACACCAATCCATCCAACTCTATGTACATGATCATGGCCTATCAAGACTTTGAATGTAGCACACGCTCCAATCCATTGTCTCTGGTAGGCCTTGAGTAGAGCCAGGAGGTCGGAAGCGTGGACAGCATTTCGCCATACTAGGTTCTAAATCACACAATACAAACTGATGGCAAAATCGGGTTCGAGCTGAGGTAAAGACGAACCTTGTGTCGAGTATGACTGCATTGGGTTCAAGCCAAACGCCTCAATCGTATTGAAACACAATTGCTGATACCGTGAACCAAATCCACCAGGATGATGCAAGCCGAATTGCCTGGAATCATGCAAGGAGCTTTGTCAGACTTCATGAAACACTATGGTGTTAATCTGTAACTTACGGAGACCGGGATTTCAGTAACAGCCGCACCTGTGTATGTGCTCACACTGAGGTTCATGGTGGTCGAAGCGGCAGCAGTGATGATCGATGTCGATGCCGATGTACGCGTCGGTCCCATCAATGTAGAGGGAGTTGTCCCAATATAGTGAGTCCAAGTTGTGGTTGCTGTACTTGTCGTGGAAAGTCCGAGGTGGCCACAGGGTGAGAGATCAATAGACGTGGTGGCTGCAGCAGTGATGTTGGCATATCCGCCTGGGTCGGCGGTAGACATATATCCCATGCAGTTTGAGTAGAGTCTGTCGTAAACTGTTGGCTGAAACGTGTCATTGGCATAACACAGACACGATGCCTGCTGACTGAACATTGCGGTCGGGAAAGCACCACTTTTGCTTTCACAAGAGGTGAGCATCTCTTCTACGCTTAGACAGGCGTTAAAGCCTCCCTCAGTGGTCGTAGTGAGCGCACTTTGCGCGGCAGTGCTGGTCGAGCTGACGGTCTCGGTGAGTGTATCTGGATCGTTCATGAGGTTGACAACACACTCAGCCATAGCAACCCATGATGACAGTGCACAGCAGTTCGCGATCTCGACGTAGCCGGAGCATGATGCGCAGATCTCTTTCACACATTCTGACGAGTTGGTCTCGCAGACATTGTCCAGCCCCTCTGAGCCGCATGTATAATTCTGTCGTCGAACCAGGGTAGCGACTGAGTGCATTCTGGGGAGGTCCAATGTTGCTCCAGTATGAACGAAGGCGCAGAGCCAAATGATGAACCATAAAGATCTGTGCATGTCGATGGTATCAGCAGGAGGTATGAAAGTCCGTCGTGGTCGCCATCTCGAAGCAGGCCGCCTTTGCGAGTTATAAAATGCAAGTAGCCATGTAGTAAATGTGCTATTCTAGACTAGGTGACGAGGGAACTATTTAGCGAACTACTGAAATGATTCGAATGGGCTACTCGATACGTACAGTAAGCTTGTGCCCTCCGCCTCCGCCACCAGCAACATATCTTGTATCAGCCTTCTGAAACCTTAAAAAGACTTGGCCATCTGACGCCTACACGACTCGTATTCGCCTTACGAATTGACGGTCTAGTAGCTTTCAGATCAAGTGCTGAACTAGCTACACCGGATGTGCATCGTCGTGAACAATGTGGAATTTGGCTGGATCACAACCGCTCCACACCAACGTCTCGTTGCTTTCACAGCCTCGACTACGGTAGGTCCTAGATAAGAACGGTGGAATGACCATGCCCTTTTATGCAGAAGCTGTCTTGATTCGTTAAGTACACCAATGGTCACGATTTCTTCCTGCTGGTTGTTGTTGCGTTGCTGCTGTCACCTTTCCAAGGGCCTCCGATCGTTTGCCTAGGCCTCCCAGAGCCATTGTACATCGGCAGCGAGATGTTCGACATCACACTCACCGTTGGAGAGGTTGCGGGCCTCATATCTGGTGGCTTTTCACTCTGTAAGACTACCTCTTTCGACGCACATGCTGTATGAAGCTTTTCAACTGATTTGATAGTACATATCATCATTCCCTGCCTGTTGGCTTTCGTCTTGGTAGGAATCATACGAGGAGGTCGTTTTGATGCCGTGACATGGTCTGCCATTAGCCATCTCCTGCAGAACACTTGGTGGCCGCTGTTTCTGCAAAGCGATGGCGCCGCCGGTAATCTCAGAGGAAGGATGATTCGCTGGCGCGTCTTCTTCATGTCCATCGTCACGACAATGACTATGCTGTGTCTTATTGTTGCCGGCTTCCTGACGTCAAAGCCAATATATGAGGAGCTTGTTCCTACGAAAGGACTTCACGACATAGACTTTGTTTCTGCGCCAGGTAATGTCTTTCGGAGCGCAACTGCAAGCAGGAGCTAATCTCAACAGACACGTCCTACTACGGAATAGCGACATTGGACCGGCAGACCATCACTCGGAGGTGCGGATGGGAAGAGTGGATGGATTGTCCACATTCCCTCTACAATGACTCGACTGTTCGAAGCGAGTATGTCAATCATACAGTCGTCAATTCGACTATTCCTGGCGTCACACAAGATCTGTTCACCAGTGGAACGAAACTTGGCACGGTTTCCAGCTTGCTGGATATCGAGTTCCGGGCTTACAATCTCGACAACAACCAATATATCGACAACAATGCTACACGACCTGTTGGTCGCCTTGAAGTCCTGCCATCTGTCATCTTAGACTCGACCTACCATATTGTCGAGGGTCTAATCATCGATTCTTTCGCAGGTGGAGTAGGGTTTCGGAATCACACTGTGCCTGCCGGCCTTGAACTTGGCGCAACTTGGACCGAAGACATTCTTTGGGTAGTTCCAGAGACAAAGTGCACAAACACTAACCTTAGCCTTCACTTCTCGGTCAACAACAATGTCTCGGTGTCGATGTCAGGGACTGACGGCTACCTGCGCGACGATGGTGGTTTCTCGGAGATCAGCTCCGTGTTGCCTGTCCCACGATGGAACGAAGGCGATACTTGGAAAAACGTCACTTCCGTCCCCCAGCTCAAGCAAGGAGCCGACATCTTGGCCTGGTGGAACAACCAATTTACAGCCCAGGCTTTGAATCTCACAGAGTCGGCAAAAGGCGCTATCTATCGTGGCCAACTCAATACATTCGGCGCCTTGAGTGAGCCTGGGGCCATTAAAATTAGCTCCATGGACGGCCAGTTTCTGGACGACATCTATTATGACGACAAAACAGCTCTAGCGGAACAATTCAAGAACTATGGTAAGTATTGAAAGTATCACCTGCAAAGAATCTGCAGCTTATCACAGAGTGACAGGTATTCGGTGTAGTGGTTACTACGACGATGATCAGAGCATCGACGGCAAATCCTTCATGCAATGCGGATATTTGTACACGATTCCCCGTCCGGAGAACGAAGGTATTGGACAGTCCTGGCGCCCAGACCCCGGTTCGGCGTGGTCACAAGATCTCTATACTTGTGCAAGCTCAGTGTCAGCAACGATCAAAGAGGTGACGTTCAATACAAGTGGCAGCACGTCGCTCGTGGCCCTACAGGTCCTAGATGTCAAGGACAAGGCCTATAGCAACACCACTGGCATGCCTATCTGGGGCATCGAATCAGTGAACTCCTCTGCTTACAAAGTTTGGGATGTCTACAAGTTCTGGGGCCTCGTTGATGACACGGCAACGCAGAGTCCCGACGTGGTGGCACAGATAGCGCCGAAAATGTACCTGCCTGCTGCTGTACGCGGACCGACGCTCGGTAGTCATATGTACGACTCATTCGCAGGGGGTGCGGTCTTCACCGCGGCATGGAACAGTATCTACGCATGGGCGGCAGCATTCAGTGATGTTAATGCGCTCTCGCTACCAAAGTAAGTGGCGAATCTCTTCTAGTGTTGACGACTATTGCTGAAACTCACGTCTTCATCGCACAGCTACAGTGGGAAGTACAACTATGGCTTGACGCTCAAATGGCGCCAGCTTTCAGGATCTGCCGAAAACGCAGAGACACTGTTAAATCTCATCTGGACGGACTTGGTAGCCTTCTCAGTGGTCGGCACTAGGACTGGATTCGAGAACATGGGGGAAACGTCCTCCGTCATAGATCGACAGCCAGGTAACGTTGGGATTAGAAGGGTGTGCAAATATCAGCGCTCTATCAAATACGAGGACATCCGGTATGCCATACCCGCCTTCATTGTCGGGGGAATCCTTGTAATCGCCTTTTCGATTACCCTGGTGATGTGTTGTGTCCAGCGTCAGGCATGGCGAGCCCTCCGCCACTACATGAATCAGACGAGCATGGGCAGAGCGATGCTTCAAAGTGAAGGCGATGAGTTCAATGCTTACGCGAGCACGAATGAGTGGGCGAGGGAAGCGAGAGACATTACGCTGAAGGTGCCGGATTTCCGGCAAGAACAGAAGAAAGGCTCTTATGTTCCTGCGAATATCAAAATGACCTCGACGACCTCGGTGTCTGAGGGAGGGACCGCGAGGAGCAGAGAGTCCAGCGTCCACCTCGGGCACGTTGCAGGGGTCACCAATCAGGGAAATGGGTCACCTGACGAAGAGTCTTTCCTACAAGAACATGAGAGACATAGTAGCTATTGAGAAAGACTTTCTGAAACGGGTCGAAGGCTGAGTTGAAACATCATGTCACAACTGACTGCATCCGCGTTTGGGAATGTCATCAGGATTACTGCCGGAAAATCTGATTTCCCCGACCGGCAGGCTTAGCTCTCACAAATTGCTGCGGCACTACCAACATGGTATGATGAAATTGAACGGCATAAAAAAAACAAAAACAATCAACAGTAGGGATTCGCTGGTTCTCACGAACCCAACTACTAACCTACCGGCATGAGGCTTCAGTATGACTGAGCGAACGGGAAGTCCTGCATTGACTCATCCTATGGTCGATTGCGAAAATAAATGTGCGGTGGTAGAATATATACCTGGTGTTGTGGTCACTTACCACGAACTATTGCTGATTTTGATGGCCGATGTTTTAGAACGCTACCGAGGCGGGATGAAGCACTTAATTTGGTAGACATCACGACATCAAACCGTGAGTTGAGTACTGCGGGACAAAACACACGGAACTTACCCGTAGAATGAAGAGATTGAAGATCTTTGACATGAAGGCAATATCGATTCATTAAAATACTTCAACTTTCATCACAGTTATACAACATGGATATGGATGTGAGAAAACGTTGACCAACAAGAAATTGTGTATCTCCCAAAGCGCCAAATGCTCCAAAGCTGCATGCAGATGTCCTCCAGTTGTCACAGTGGGTAATCAAAACATTTTTCCAACCTTCACGGGTCCTAACCCTCGAGCACACGACTCAAGGTCGCACCGATGGCGCGACCAACAGTCTGGACGATAGGCTGCTTGACATTCTCATCACTCACACTCCCACCAGTACTGGCATTGGCATGCGCATCGGCGTCGTCATCCTCAACAATCTTCGTACGCATACTAGAGTTGTGATTCAGACTCTCCCTTGCCGTATAGTTCGTCGGCGCGGTACTCGCCATGCTCAACGCTGTACTGCTCCGCTGGTGAACTAAATCCGGTGTTGGGGGGATCGAGCTCCTTTCACTTGCCGGCGTGAGATGTCCAGTCCCTCCCGTTCTGGAATCAGACTGCACGGACACCGATCCAGAAGCGCCAGGCGACAGACCAGTGCTGTCTGTTCTTGTGTGGCTTGTGTTGGTTGACAGCGACGAAGTCTGCGCCAGCGCAGGGGCATCCTCATCTGCTTCGGCGTCGTCATCGTCCTCAACACTGGCAGCCTCATTGGCAAGTTGCAATCCCTCAACAGCGGCGGCGCACTGCTCGCTGATGTTTCGGATGATATCGGCGATAGCATCAGTCTTGTCACGCAGGTGTCGATCGGCGACATCCGACATGCTCAGGTCTGAGTAGCGCTTGCTAGCTCGCTTACTAGCGGCCAACAGCTTGCTCTCCATGCTGGGCGTGACGTCCTGGCTGTCAACTGACATAGGTCGCGACGAGAGGCGCTTGTCTGATCGTGCTGTGACATTCCTGAGACGGTCGTGATCACCCTCAAGTTCTGCAACCTTATCGTCTTCGTCCTCTCCTTCTTCCTCGTCGTCGTACCCTTCGTTGATGTAGTCTGCCAACTCGGAGGCCGAGCCAATGCTTCGGACGATATGCTCCATGTGGTGCGTCTGACCGGTAATAAGAGATCGCAAGTGCAAGACCACACGCTGCGCCTCGTCCCGCTGTCGCTGCAGCGTCTGGTTGGTATGCTGCAAAGCCGCAATCTCCTTGCGGTTTCGTGACCGCTCCTTCTCCAAGTCCTCGGCAATACCCTGCTGGAGGACCAACGCCTCGAGGGCGTTGTCGCGCTGTCGTTCCGTCGTGGACAACCGCAGTGTAAGTCTTGCGGCGTCGTCTTTCTGCTGGTCGATCAGACCTGTCAATCTGCGGTTCTCGCGCTTGTGCGATTCGATCTTGACGCGCAGCTCGGCGAGTTCCTTGTTCAACGACTCGACGAATGCTTGGAATTTCTGGAATTGCAACTTCCATGTCTCGACTTCTGCCTCGAGGTAGTTGTTGCGTTTGGCCACCTTGGCGAGTTCCGTGTCCATTCTGCCCTTGAGGTTGATGAAGTCTTGCCAAGCCTCGAGTGCGTCGCGAGAGTACTGGTTTCGCTCGCGCACGATCTCGTTCATGTGCCGCATTGAAATCTTGGTCATCAGTGGCTTCTTCATGCTACCTCCGAACAGGGCCTTTACGCCTGTGTTGCGGCCGAGCTTCTCGCAAACGTGGTCCATGACCGCCATGATGGAGTCTTGGTTCCACCATGATGGATCTTGTACACTCTCGACTTCACCGCGGAGCACGATGATTTGACCGGCAGGAATTAGCTTGCCCCCACCATAGGCTGACTTGAGATGTTGTGGTACGCCGCTGATTTCAACATCACTGTTTAGTGCTTGGGTCAAGCGGTTGATAAACTTGGTGCGTTGGCCGGCGGTGAGGACATTTGGTGGATGGTCGGTGATGACTAGGTTGCGGTCCAGGTCAACCAGTAGGGCATCTTTGGGTGGCTGGAAGAGCGATCGGCATTCGGTGGTGATACCGAGGATGTATGGACCTGGTTCCTGGACCATTTCGCTGACGTTTCGGGCGTGCACGACAGGTACGTACAGACCACTCCACTCGTAGACTCGGACGCAGAATCTGATTGTCTCGGCGGCGATGGTAAGCATGGCGGGATGATGGCTGGTAAGGATGATACGGCGGGTTGGTGATACGGCCGCTTCGACAAGTCCAACAATGTTAGGAATGGTCAAACAGCTGAACAGGGGCCACATGGCGAAGTTCTGAAATCCTGTTGGTGAGGACGGGAATTGATAGCAGAGGGCATAGTCTTTCATGTCGATACGAACAAGATCATTGAGTCGTGGAGCTGGGAAACTGAGAATTCGTGAAACTTCTTCGGCATGGAACAGGTTGGTAGCCTTGTTCCAGTGAATCCACATTCCACGCAGATAGTCGCCCAGCAGATTGTACAAGGGGTATCTGGACAGGAAGCTCAAGCAGTATGGAATCCAGTAAGTCTCGTCTGCGACATCTCTGTAGTCGGGTTCGGTCTTTCGACGCAGATCACGAATGGTCTCGGCGCGTTTTTCATCAGCTCGGGACCAGACCCGAAGGGCGATACCATAGAGGGTATGCTGAGAATCTTGTTGAAGGACAAATGAGTGGTGCACACAGTGCGGTTGACTTCGACCAGTGCAGATTTCGACATCGTGTGGAAAGCAAGCCTGGAATATGTTAGTCAGCCATGAAAGGAAGAGATCGAACCATGTACTAACCCTCATTGCGCTGTGTAGAGCTCTTGCAATTTCATTGTCGCTTTCAAGTCGTGGACTGCTGCCCAAAATCTCGGGAAGCCAGAACTGACCGACAGCGCCCTTCATATGCTGAATCTTTCCAAACGACGGTGGTGGTGCTTTGACCCATTGCGACGGCTCCCTTCCTACACCACATACCATATATGCATGAGTCAACGTCTTTGGCGTCGGGCGGTTATTCGATTTTGCCAGTGTCGACGGCATAGGCTGCGTGATTCTGGAATGGAGCGACGACGTCCGGCTGGGCACCATCGCATCACTGACGATCTGCTCCCTGGTAGACGGACGATTCGTTTCGCGGGTTTGGGGTCGGGCCATTGAGGTCATAGAGGTATGACCTCTAAGAGATGGACCCATGATTTCATACACTCGATGGGATAGAGTGGTGGTCTCTGCGCGCGGCCCGCAGTCAGATATGTCACCAGTCAAGGTCCGTGTTTAGGCCTATGCTGACGAACTTGACAGCACCTCCGCAGGAAGGAAAACTGTACTGAGAGTTGTGCCTCTGTAGAGTTGAAGGGAGTCTAAGTGTGAGAGGGGTAGGCAAAAGTGGGAAGAAGTAATGTTATCACCGAGACAGCCTGAAAGAGGGATCCAGGAAATGAATGCAAGGTACCGAAATGGACGAGATTCAGGAGGGCTGTTGTTAGGTGCAAGCGAAAGGATGCATGCGTAGCAGGTCCGGACCCGTCGTGTCAAAAGTGTGCGGAGGCCAATGGAAGAAGCGAAGCAATCGAAGCAGCAGACTAAAAGAATGAGGCTTGCAGGGGTGTGAGAAACTCATCTTTTCCACATCGAGGTGCTTTCACACTGATTTCAGCACTGGCGTTCGCCTCAGGTGGGCCGCACCGTGATGGTCGCTCGAAGTGATGACGGTTCGGAAACTAGGATGCTTGCGATATGGGAACTTGCAGGGTCTCTGACAGTGACAGCTCGACTAGAGACTGTCATCCAGAACAGCGGAGTACAGTGCAGGACGCCATAGTATGCACATCGATGCAAATCGGACACTCCATTTCGAAAGTTTACGGCCCTTCGAATCGCCAGGGGATTGTGTTCTGCACCACCTGGAAATGCGACCAAATCAGTGTCGGCGAGCCCTGGAATGAACCGGCTAGGGCCAATAGTGGTGCCTCCTTGGGCTTCTGGGAAGCCCCTGGCCTTGTGTTTCCCCCAGCCACTCGCCTTCCCGGTGGACCTCAATTTTGATGATCGGAGCGATCCCCGATCCACTCACCTGTTCTTTGAGACTTTGACAGCTTGGGCTTTGGGTAGTCGTGGGTATCCTCCGGGCCACTCCCATACCAATTTGGCGGTCCACTGCTATCACGGACATGCGAAGTGCTGCACACTGACTTTTCCGCAATCGTCCATAGTCACCAAGCCATGCAGACTCTGGACTTCTATCGAAGAGATGGTGGCTTGCGTTTTGGCTCGTGTCTGCGTGGCTCAGGGGGTTTTTCTTGCTGAACACGCTTTTCGCCATCCGGCTTATGTTTCCCTATCTGGTGGTCAGAGTTGCATTATTCCATCTCTTTGTAACAGGATATGCAGGTCCGAGAAGTTTATGCAAGCTTTGACATGAACACTCATCCGTATACACGTCAACTCGAAAGAGATGGCATTTTTCGCGCAAAACAACTTCTGACATGCGAACCTGTTCTTGCGCGGGGTGCGTTCCCGATGTCTCTATGGCTGTCTGTGACGGAAATGCCGCCACTGTCAAAGTGTCTCTCTCAACCTCTATCTCGATGATGAGGTAAGGGCCAGGTATTGCAGCCTCGTCAAAGGTCCGCTAATGCCTCGCGGCCACGTGTAATATCTCTCACGGTTTGTAGTCAAGCCTGCCTACCTGCGTTGGTCAAGGACGATTGGATACCGCGCCCGGACATCCGTAGGCGAATGTACGTAGAATAGTGGTCGGGTTATGCCGGTGTGTGTCTTGAGATTGGCCGAGAGATGTATGAATCATGATTTCTGGTGCTTTTGATTGTTTGAACAGGAGACCCTGGCTGTAAATGCGG